TTTTGATATTTTTTACTTGTGTTATTTGGAGTTGTGATTTGGTTTAGTGAGTATATTATATAATAGATTCAATAAAAATTAGCATATACTGTATGTATGCATGTTGTGACAGTGAAATGTAATCTAGCTAAAATTAAGAAAATATAATTCAAGCCACATAATTTAGAATCTGAAATGCAGATTTATCAACAAAGTGAAGACATTTAATAATACTAATTTAGATTTGGCTTGAGGAAATACTCTATTAAGAACAATAGTAAGGTATCACTAGTATTCACATAGTAAAAACTAAAGTTATTATCATATAAATAAATATAAATTGCTTATTATTAGCTATAAATCCTCTGATATTTTAATAGCTTATAATAATTTTAATTGTAATAGCAAAGCCTAATATTGTTCATAATATATAAAAGCTTCTTGATTTCATATAACTAAAGGAAGCAGATAGATAATAGATAAATAAAAATCATAATTAAATAAAGACTATCTAACCCAGAGATTCTAGTACCAGTAGAATCCTTGGTTCTCATATCAAAATTTCTATGCCCTTTTTCAAGTAGTCTTTATTTTTGGTTGTTTTTTGATAATGAAACTTTTTTTTAAATATAATACCATTTTTTACAGTCATAACATACCAATTTTTATTAAATCTATTATGTCAAAATAATTATGCTTTTACTACTATATATTGAGTCTAAACTAGAAAACAATTTTGAATTCACGTGCATATGACAAGGTTAAATAATAGTTTACTACCACTACACTATTATTGAAAACCAGATTTGAATAAGATTATCATATCTATGATCATATGATCGAGTGCTATTATTTGTATTTTGTATAACTACATATATGTATACGTAACCCCACATATGTACAGGGTGTACCAAAAATAAATACTCATTAAATTTATATTTCAATTTTAATTTAGGAATTTGCTAATTTACACTACAGGTAATCATTACCTGTATTGCTATATCTCAAAAATAGAACTATGAAATGAGGTTAGGTATACTAAGTAAAAATGTTTAGAACCTCTAAAAACCTTGTATAACCTAAATTTGGGGCTATTATAACTGACCTCTGTCTTGGTCTTAAACTGCACCCTAACCCTAAAATTTGGCAAAACTTATATCACCACAGGTGATCATTAGATTTTTTCTTTAATTTAAATATAAGTATATTATATATATCAAATAATTATATATATTTTATTTTAAAATACAGTACAGTAATTTATTAATTTTATATTTAAGTATTGTAGTAGTTTTTATTTATTATTTATAATTTGTTTTAATAAAAATTTCTTGATCTATCTTGGTATATAATTATAAAATTATAATTATAAAATCATTTTGTTTGGCCCGCCCGGCCTGGCCCACAAAACGGGCCGGGCCGGGCGGGCCTATGGGATCCAATGCAGGTCTCTACTGTGTAATATCCACCAAATTAAGCATTATTGTTACAAAATCTCAAATATTCGTATTATGGCTTTTTTTGATGTGACGCAGGTAACAATGATTGGGCCGTGAATTCATATGAACAAATTTGGAAACGCATTTTGAAATTAGCTCTCGTGATTGATTCTGTATGCTTTTAGATGGTTCGCAGTATAGGTGACCCACTTTATACATTTCATTAAAGAGGTTGTTTATACTGCAAGAGATCCTGTCATTCAGATTTATTTTTTATTATCCTTTGTTGAGCATGTACTTTTGTATACTAAATTCTCGATATTAATAAAATCGATCAAGATCAATGGGAACTTCTTAATAGAATATTTATATGTTTGTTTTTATTGTGTATGAACTTACATATTATTCAATTCGGAAATATCTTAATGGCGATAATTCATTGGGGTCTAATTACAAACATAGTGCAGGCGTGATCATTAATCAAATTTTTTATAATCAGCGGTGGCGTAGTGGTAGCGTAAATAGTAAAAACATATAAAATTTAAATTGCAATAACTCTTGAACAAGCCAACCTGCACAAATAAAATTATATTTGTCGGATTTATTTTAATGTGCTCTTTAATATGACAACGTCTTTTTTTATTTATATTTTTTAGAGCATCAATTTCCATGCAAAATGGTCGTTGCATTTTTAATAAATCATCAAAAACGTAACTTTGAATTTTTTTGCCAAAAACGATCACTTTTCATGGAAATTGAGACCTCCGTTAGGCTCTAAATAATAAAAAAAAAAGAGACGTTGTTACTTTGAAGAGCACACTAAAATAAACCCGACAAATATAATTTTATTTGTGTAGGTTGGCTTGTTCAAGAGCTATTGCAATTTAAATTTTGTTTTTACTATTTACGCTACCAACACGCCACCACTGGTTATAAAAAATTTGCATCACTATACCACCTGTACTATGTTTGTAATTAGACTTGCATGACACCCCCAATAATTCATGCGTCAGAATGAATTACAATGAGTATTCAAATGATTTACTATTTTTCGTGGCAGAAATTTCTTCGAAATATCGACTTATTATTAAAAGTTTGATAGCGTTTTTTATCACCAATCACAAGCATTTGGGTTATTTAGAAAGGTATCATTTATAAGCCACTTTTTAAACCGATATATGTCAAATGCTTGGTTCATGTTTATTTAATTTTTTAAGCCATTAGAATTGAAACAAACAAACAACCGATGTTATATAGGATACTTCGTTTTTCATTTTAGGTTTTAATCGCTATGACTCGGAATATACCATTTAATGACTATGATGGATCGTTATTTTTTAATCAATATTTCCAATATTTTGGCGTTTCTTTTTCTTTTAGGTGATAATGTTTATTCATATTTGGAACCTAAAAATGTACGTATGCGATTTATATAGCATAAAATCGCAAGAGCAAGACTTAATGTTTACATTCTCATGGATTTTAAATTTCATTGTTGGTTCTTTGATTTAAATTGATTTAGGAACGCAATCCCTACCTTCAAGCGCATCTTACGTACATTTCACCTGCTGTTTTTACTTTTTATATGTGGATACCTATTCAAATTTTATTAGGAGGTTTTGGTAATTATCTGGACGAATTGAATAATTCCATTTTTAATACACACTGTACATAACTCATTTAACCACGTTGAATCTAGTTATTTATCAATTTTATCCTCAAGCTAAAGAGCATGTTACTACAATCAGCTGGAATTTTGTTGGTATTGTTGCGTTAAACTGCTTATGGCTCAATTTTTGGGTAATTATTTTATTCAGTATTATTTGGGTCATTAATTTTTTTTACATACATCATTTATTGTTATTATTATAAATAGCAAAGAGATATGATTTCCTTCTCTTGGATTGCAATTTTTATAATGGTCCTTCATCTATCTTACATTTATTATATTCTTGAATTTACGTATCAACCTTACGATCAGACTGACGAACAATTAGACGTTATACTTGACATAGCATTTGTTCATTTGCCATTCTCTTTATATCACTCATGGTCCATAGTATTGTTAGCTATTACAACCTTCACTATAATTATGCCTGAAAAAACAGATGAAACTCCAAGTTTGATTGAATTAATCGTTGTAATATTTGTTTTGATGTCTTTTGAATTAATAGCGATTATGTATATTGAAGCTAATAATGATTTCGCCGGTTTTGCTGGATTTTTGGTAAGCTTTTCGTTATTATTATTATTATTATATATATATAGTACGGAACAGTATAAGAAATCATTCTTTTTCTTTTAATTATATAAGAAATCATTCTTTTTCTTTTAATTATATAAGAAATCATTCTTTTTCTTTTAATTATATTGTCATAACCTTTTTTAAAACAAATTTTCTAATAGTCTTTTATTCCAACAATAAATTTAAAAGATGGATTTTTTTTAAAAAGATATGACAATTTGTGATATATTGGTTAATATTTAGTATTTTAAATTTTATTATGAAAACTAGGTATTTTATGCTATACCGTACTATATATATTTTTAGAAAAATTATATAACCGATTGTTAGTCATACACGCTATTTATATATCTAAAATGAATGATTATTTCTTCTCATGTTTATTTCTTCTTAGGTTATTGCATTTACTTTAATAGGAATTTCATATGAGCAAGAAGAAATTGTAATTCATTTGGCCGCTATTTTACTTTCTATTATTTCTGCTACTTATTTTACTACATCTTTAGTTAAGAAATGTTTAGTTCCTAAAGCACATTTTGATGAGAAACATGCACACGTATAATGAAGATGCAAATTTTACTCACTTAAATTGCTAAATAGTTACAGAACCGTAAAAAGTAAAATTACATGTGTTAACGAAAATAATAGGGTTTTCTTAAATATAAAATTAACATAATATGCCATGCTCATTTTTATCTACAGTAGCATGTTTATCAAAAAAATCAAGTAGTCGGTAAATATTTTTAAAAGTAATATCAAGACTGCATTTAAGTTTTAGATTAATTTACACTATATTGCCAATTAATAATCTTATTTAAATATAAAATTAAGACGATAATAACTAAACCAACAATTTGCTTGATTATCTTCTTAGCCTAACAAGCTGTTGGCAAAAAATAACAATATATTACTAAAAATTAGTTTATTATAGTTTATAATATGATTGATCTTTTTTTATATTTATAATTTTTTTTTTCACTTTGATAGTTTCTTTATTAGTTGTTTTTTACTTAGTATATGGGTTTCTTAAAACAGGATAAGTCAATTAGGTTGATAATCCAGGGTCATGTAAGTCAATTGACCATTAATCAATCAAAATTAATTTTATAATAAAAAAATAATTTTTTTATTAAATTTGATAAAAAATTTTGGGTTATATAATTTAACGCATATGCGTTGTAACGCACCCCCTGATCAACCAATTAAAACGTAAGATCAGGTGTAACGTTACACGATCAGGAAAATTCAAAACAAGCGTTCGTTTTGCCAAAAATCGCCTATAACTCAAAATTTCGCATATGCAACTACCTTTCGGGTCTTAACAAAAAAAATTCCTTGCAAGATTTTACTATAAGCCCATCTTTTATAACTACCTTAACCTTACCTTAACCTTACCTAACGCTAACCCTAATCATATAAAAAACTATTGTTTTGATTTCATGTTACACATGATCTTATGGGGGTGCGTTACAACGCATATGTGCAAAATAATAAAATTCAAAAATTTTTATTTAAATTTTACAGATTTGTAAAAAATTTTATTAAATTTAATTAGATAGTTATTAAAATATTATTATTTAAAAATTTAAATTTTATTATATAGTGTTCTCATATACAACCACACAATTAAACACAGTAAATTTTTTTAAAATATGCTTATATAGTTGTTTCTTCATATAGTCATCTCCCATATAATCACATTATATATAATTACATTTATACTTAGATTAAATTATAATTTTATATAAACACAATCTCTATATAAGCATATTTTAAAAAATTTACTGTGTCTAACTATACGATTATATGATATAGGTTTTTTTATAAATTAAAGAAAACTGCTATTTGTACTATAATTTTTGTTATTTGCACTATATAGATCATTTAATTTTATCACATTATTTTTTAAAATTTTCTTAAACTTTGATAGGTGATATCTTAGCAACTAATTGATTAAATTTGATAAAAATTTTTTTATTTAAATTCTATAGTTCTGTAGAATTTAAATAAAAAAATTTTTATCAAATTTGATTGATTGGTTATTAAGATACAGGGGTTACAAAAATATTTTTACATCTAAGGACTTGGCTTATAATTCAAAAACTTACTAATTAACTTATGTCCTTGACTTGACTATATGAAACCTTATCTCTTGATGATTATGTTATATCATTTTTAGATCATATGGGCTAGATGCTACAAAAAGGGATGAAATTGACAATACAATTTTTTTAAAAGAATTTTTTTTACATAAATTAATTTAGAATAAGATTAGGGTCATTTTTACTTAAGACACAAAAGTAGTTACATTAATAAAATTTTGTAGTATAGCTTTTTAAAGTTTGCATTTTTTGATAATTTATTATAAATCAAATATAATTAATTATTAATAAAATTAGTTTTGAATTTAAAAAAAATAAATATATATATACTTAAAATGCTTTTCTTCTAGCCCTATTGTTTTTAAAACCAAGCTGACTTGCTACTTCTTTGTTGCTTGGAAGAACAAACCTTTCTTGTATAGCTGACAAACTTTCAGCTCTTCTTTGTATAGCTGATGAACCTTTAGCTCTTTTTTGTATGGATGATGAATCTTCAGCTTAACTTTCTCCTATCTATTTACCCTGCATCGATGGCTAGCAACTTTAAATCTGCAAGACGCTGATGTTTTTGGTAAAGAAGGATTAGGAGCTTTAAAAAAGTTGGACTGTATCTTCTAGAACTATAATTTTTCGATCCTGGTTCCTCTGGATCTCATGTAGATTATTGATTTCACTTCACAATAATTGATTTTTTAATATTAAAAAAATAAAATAATAATAATAAAATAGTAATAATAATAATAATAATAAATATTAATTATAAATTGGTATGAATTTGACTACTATTTAAGAAAAGAAATAAAATAAAATAAAATAAAAATAATAATAAAATAAATTAGTTACAAATCAGCATGAATTTGGCCACCATTTTTTTTAAAAAAAAATAATAATAAAAAATAATAAATCAGTATATTTTAGTTATTATTCAAATAAAAAAGAAAAAATAATTATAATATCAGTATATATTTAGCCACTATTTAGTAAAAAAGGAAAAAAAAATAGTAAATAAAATAGTTATGAATCAGTATATTCAAATATTTGTTTTTTTACTGTAAATAAAATTTACCATTCTTCAGTCTTTTACTTCTTTTTATTTAATCAAAATCAGCAAAAGTTTTTACTCATTCACTACTTTTACTTCAGCTTGTGCTTGTTCTGGTTCTTAGCAGTAAATGAGATAAATAAGATAAATGAGAAGAGGTGGTGGCTCTTTGGGTAAAATAATAACTACTAGCTGGATTGAAGAGATAGTTGACGATTGTGATGAAGTTGTAGTCAATGTGATGGATTGTTGAATTAAAGTAGTAGATTGTTGGATCAGAGTGGTAGTCGAAGTAGTAAATTGACTAGTTGAAGTAGTGGTCAAAGTAGTAAGTTGTATAGTTGAAGCAGTGATCGAAGTAGTAGATTGTCTGGTTGAAATGGTCAAAGAAGTGATAAATAGTTGGGTCAAAAAGGCGATAGATAGTAAAGTAATAGATAGTTGGGTTGAAAGTATAATCGATAGTTAGATCAAAAAGTTGTTATGGGTATTTGAGTCAAAGGAGTTGTAGATGATTAAATCGAAAGAGTTGTAGATGTTTGGGTCAAAGGAGTTGTAGATGGTTGGGTCAAAGAAGTTGTAGATGGTTGAGTCAATAGTCAGGTCAAAAAAGTGGCAGCAGCTACCAATTGAAAAGGTTGGGTTGTTTGACAGATTCCTTTTGTTCTAGCTATAGTGAAAAATATTTTTTTTTTGAAAAACAATCTAATGAAGTTTGGAGAAAAGAGAGAAATTAAAAAAAGTGTTCAATTTGGTTATATTTATGAAAATTTTTTAAATTCTGATCATATTAAAAAAAATTCATATCTTGTATTATTATCTTGTATTATTATCCTGTATTATTGTTCTGTATTATTGTCTTTATTATATTATTACTATTTTCAAAATGTTTGAAAATGATAAATGATTTTTTTTTTAGTATATACTCGTACACTTATACATTTATATGCTCAATTACCTTAGCACGTTGATTAATTGATATTTAATCAATATGCTAAGGTAATCAAGTATACGAGTATATGAGTATACTAAAAAAAAATTATTTGCTGTTTTTAACACTTTGAAATCAAAACAATGTATAATACTATTACTGTCAATTAGTTGATGTTTATTCAACTACTTTATTAAATTATTGTTTTATAATTATCTATCATTTGCTAATTTAACTATAGTAAGAACTCTTTTCTATAGATCCCAATTTCTATAGTAAAACAAAAATGATATAACAAAACTGACAAGCTATTAAATAAATAATTAACTACATAAAAGAAAAGACCACAGAATATACCAACACACTACCACACTACACTACCAAGCACCAATATAAAAAGAAAACAGAGTAGCAAGAACCACACTACAGATAACAAAGAAAATACAAGGCCCTTGGGCTCTATAGTACCCTTTACGCTATCAATACAACCACAACTCCAAATGAGCAACAACAGTAGAAATACTAGCAAAAGCAAAAGCAAAAAGAAGGTCTTAGTCAAGCTTAACTCTACCTACACTGATACTAATGCAAAAAGTAATATACACTCCTTCCTAGACCACACTTAAATACCAAAAGTGGGCCATCTAGCTTACCCCTCAAAAAATAGCATGATATCATCACACCAAAACAACAACAACTAACTTGTCCAAACAGGTTTTAACAATATCCAAACAGAAACTACAGAAAAAAACAACAATACAACAATAATCTCTCATAACAACAACCTCAATATTACTATTTTAGGCAACTCACCTCACATGAATGATAACAACAATACAGCTATGCCCCAGCCCAGATTAACAATACAGCAACAGAGCAAGGTGATCTAGAAGATATAGAAACTACTAACCCTGAAATAGCAAATGATACACAATACAACAACAAAATAGAAACTGACACAGCCTCAACAATATTGGCACAACAGGATATGCTTACATATAGCCAAGTAGCTAAATGAAATCTGAATGACAACACAATACAAATAGATAAAGACCCAACCCAGAAGTGGTTAGAACATATACACAAGAAACTAACAAAAGAAATTACATAGCCATTTAATACTAACACATAGCACTACAACAAACTAATTACTAGCCTTCAATCTAACACAGGACTTCAAGAATTTATAAGATACAAAATGGCAACTAAACCTACTGATAAATATATTCTTTTTGCTATTCTTGCCAAATTTAAACACCTAGACCATGCATTCTTCCTTATATTCACCAGAGCAAAAAGATTTATATCCCAGCACCAAACAGAATACAAGGAACAGTTTCACAATGCACTACAAAACTACAAAAAAACAAACCAGATCACTATTACCAACAGAGAAACATGAGATATCATTCACTAAAAACTCTGACAAAAAATCTTTATAGATTATATGACAAA